ATGTACCGATATTTTCACTTCCTTCATGAAATCAACAATGAGCATATCTAGCGAAGTTCATGGAATAAACACTCCTGATAAATAATGTAAAAAATAGAAAATGGGATTAATGTTCTTTTTATATTAAAAGAAACTTTTCAAGTACAGTAGATTTGGCAAAGATTTCCAGGGTAGTATTTTTCATATTTGAAATACACTTGTCAAATTTTAGTCACACTTACTATAACCTATCACGATAAGTAAATACTTTTTAAAAATCTGTTAGATTTTTATTTACTTATTTTTTAACTTTTATTTTAAATTCAGGGGTACACGTGCAGGTTTGTTAACACAGGTAAACTTGTGTTATGCAGGTTTGTTGTACAGATTATTTTGTTACCCAGTTATTAAGCCTAGTACCCATAAGTTATTTTTCCTGGTCTTCTCCCTTCTTCCACCCTCCAAAAAGCCCCAGTGTGTATTCTTCCCCTTTATGTGTCCATAGGTTTTTAAATATCTCAAATACATTATAAAAATGTATCTCATATTTAATATGTATCTGTACATATCATGAGATCAGATGAAGGTCTCTGAACTAATCTAGCTGATTGACATGTAATTATGGAATTTGATGTATTATTTAGTTTCTATACATTGTTTTAATGTATTTCCATGTGGTTAGATGATGCTAGTGCAATACCAAATGTTTTGAGTTGTATTTATTTCCAATAGCAGGAATAGATTTACTGAAATTTTCACACTAACATATAGTTGATTTGTAACTATTAATGATCATGGATTTTTTTTTTTTTTTTTAGATTGTTGGTGGACAGAGAAGAAAGTTTTTCCTTGATAACAACTGAGCCAATGGTGGCAAATTGAAGGTTCTGGCTTATGTTTCATTAACAGTGTTAAGCTATCATTTAAGGCTGTTATCAATTAGATGATGAATAAGGGGGCCAGGAGTGGTGGCTCACACCTGTAATGGCAGCACTATGGAAGGCTGAGGCAGGCTGATCACTTGAGGCCAGGAGTTTGGGACCGCCCTGGCCAACATATTGCAAACCCGTCCCTACTAAGAATACAAAAATTAGCTGGATGTGTTGGTGCATGCCTGTACCCCCAGCTACTTGGGAGGCTGAGGCGGGAGAATCATTTGAACTGGGTAGGTGGAGGTTGCAGTGAGCTGAGATAGCACTACTGCACTGCAGCCTGGGAGACAGAGCAAGACTCCACCTCAAAAAAGAAAGAAAAAATGTGATGAATAAGGAGAGTTTACAAGTTGAAATACTTTTGATCAGCAAAAGTGTTTTAAGTTATCTGCCTGCTGGTCAAGATTATGGACATTATAATTTCTCTAATTAAAAGGCACAAAAGGAAATATGAGAAAACTAATGAGATGCAAATTATTTGGTGGCTTGTTTCCATGAATAAAAATCTAAGCTATGTTTACACCATTAAATGTCTACTAAAATGAAATGAAAATTAGATACTGTTGTTCATTTCCACATATAAAATGTTTAATGACTGTGTATAATATTTTTCATGTGAATGCATAAGTAAATCTTCTATTGCTCTTTTGAAAATCAAATTCTAGTGTATTAAATAATGGTAAGATTTAAAATTTATGGTGACATTTGAAGTAGATTCATATTTTAAGGAAAATACACTTTTTATAGTTATTATTCTTGGATAATTGTTTTTTACATGTGATTTAATAACACTGATCTTTTACTAAACAATTTTTTGTGGTATATTTTGGAAAATAAGGTTAAAGAATGAGTTCCAAATTAGTAATAATTCTTCAGTAAAGGACCAGTTTTTAACAATTCTGCAATTAGAGATTATATCATGGAATCAGGTTGTAGTGGTGGAAATTATGCAGTGTATATTTGTGTGTGTGTGTGTGTGTGTGTGTGTGTGTGTGTGTGTGTGTGTGACATCGAGAGAGAGAGAGAGAGAGAATGTTCTTTTAAATATATCAATTTATCAACATAGGCCCATAGACTCCTATTACATGGGAATACGGGCAACACCTCCTGTAAAAATCTGTTCAGAAATCTGTTACTACAAAATGAGCAAATCCAACAACAGTTTATCTCTGTCGAATGCTTTTTGTCTTCTTCATCTAAAATGGAAATATATGTTCTTATGTGATTGACAAATATCAGAAAAGAAGTCATGTGACTACTATTTTAATAGATTTGCCATAGATTTTGTTGTAAATTTCAAAGTTCCAAATGTCACTATTTGATATATTGAGAAGAACGTTATTAAAATTGTAGATGAATATATGTTAGAGTTCTGTGCTCACTGTTGCAGTCTGTATATGACCATAATTCAACTTCTAAAATAAAGAATTCTGATTTTTTTTTGCTCCTGTTTGCATTATGAACTTTCCTACCAGACTGTTAGTATTCAAGAGTACAAGTGGAAATTACCATTGAAACAACTAATCTGAGATGTCAATTAAACACTTCTGTGTTTTAGGCTATTGAATATAACCTATGTGCTTGGCTCTATGATAACGATTGCAAGGGTACATGCTTCTTGTCAACAGGAGCTTACAATTCTTATCACAGGAGAGTTTTAAAAACAGTATTACTGTAGTATCTGCCAAATCAGTTAAATTCTAGAATAAGCCTGTAAGTTGACAAACATACTGGCAGAATCACCCTGGAAAAACCCTAGGAAAATTGTCAGAGTAGTAAACCTAAACCTAAGGCAATCCTCCAGCATTGAAACAAATATTTATCTGATTGAATCAAGCTCAGAATGATGAACTTCTGTTATAATAAGCATTATAGCAATCAAAAAGATTTCAGTGAAAAGCTGATAGCTGTTCTCCCTCTCATATTCCAGTTGGGCTTATACTCACTGATTGACTATTTAAATAATGAGCTGTTTCTTTGTTTATCTGTTTTTCTTTTGTTTTATGTATGTATCTATGTATGTGTTTGATTCTTTCTTTCAATTTTACTCATTTTCATGTTGTTCTCTTTTCCCTGGTGCTATTTGAATCTTTAATGTATGGCTGCTGCAGTGATGCTGCCAATAAATGACTTAAGGTGAGTACTCCTGTGTTCTACAACATTCTATGGGGTTCAAGAGAACAAAGGATAAGCTCCAGTTAGTCGAGAAGTAGGAGAAACGAATATAGCAAGATGATATAGAGATGAGCTTCCTAGACATATGGGTAGAATTTTAAGTTGCACAAATAGAGAAGAAAATACCATTTATGGTGAAGTTTTCTTCAGAGATGTGGAGTATGAAGGAGTAGAACATATCTCTATCATAACAGAAATTTGGAAAGGCATCTGAAGGCCTATTAAATACATTTGCTTATATAATTTAAGATCCAAATTTTATTTTTGTTTTCTAACTAGATACACAACACTTAAAAAAATACAGTATTTTTTAAAATGTTCATGCAAAACAAAGTTTACTTAAGCAAATTTAAAATCGCATGGCTTCTATGTTCTCCCATATATTGCCCTCTCTATTTTCCACGAAATTGATAGTTTAAGAGAAGGAAGGAATATAAAAGTTTGTCAACTTTGGTTTTCAAAAACCTTTCATAAAAGATATCTTTCATAAAAATACCTAATGTAGGTAACTGGAGGACGGAGGCAGCAAATTACCACAGCATGTGTATAACCTATGTAACAACGCTGCAAGATCCGCACATGTACCCCAGAACCTAATATATATATGTATATATATATATATGCTAAAAAATTATTTAATGAAGAAAAAAAGATAAAATGCTTCCTATTGCTAAAATGTTAAGGTTTTTGTATACTTTTCTATCTTTTCCCCCTTTTCTTCAGCAATGTCCTTTACGTTTATTAAAAAGGAGCATATATTTGTGTAAGCAAGAGAGAAAAATATAAGTTATTTAGTTATTTTTCCTGTGCCAGGAGGGTGATATTTACATGTAGTGTTTACTTACCTGTTAGTGTTTAGGTCTTTGTCCTTGGTTCTAAGTCAAGGTGAAGAAAGGTCAGCAGAATGTTGGATTTGTAGCACCTTATTTTTAACTAAGCAACACAGAGATAATGAGGAAAAGAGAGAAAGCTCATGTGGTTAGAGCTCTCAGACGAGCACCAGTAACCCCCTATATTCTGTTATTCTGCTCCAGCCAGGAGCAAGCAACTTGATATTCTCTTTTCTAATATAAGAATAACAATAATTTTAAAAGAAGTATATTTCATTTCGTCTATACAGACTATGTGGTTGTTTTTAAATGCAGGAAAAAGGAAATAACATTTTATTAATGTATTTCACGAATTACATGCATTAAATATGTGACTATAGAATATACTTTGCTGAGGCGAGTAGTTTATAAAGGAGGACAAAGACAGCTTTAAAAGACAACTCTATTCCGGATAAAATGCTCCTAAAGGCTGAGTATATTCTGTCAGAGGAATGCAGAAACTTATTCCTCATTGAGATATATGGAGTTAGTAATAACCTCTAAATTATCTACAAACTCTCAAATGATACTAAAGCTGTGATATTTTAATCTTGAAAATCCAGGTCTCATTGTAATGGGTTTTCCCTGTCTAACCATTGCCTATCAAGAATTATGTTTCTTTTCTGAAAGAATGAGCATGCTTGCCAATAATAGATTATTACTTTGCCTTAAAAATCAATTAAACATTTTGTCTAAAGCTTTATCAAACACAGCAGAATTTATATACCCTGGAGAGTATATAGATATCAGGGTTGTTTCTGGGACATGATTTGCATATGCATCTCATAAAATCTGAGCATGAAATGTAACAGAATTTAAGACTACAGCCATGTCCTCTAGGTTCCATAGTACACACTTTGCAAAGATAGTGTTTGGATTCCATGCTGCAAAAATATGGCCAGCACTCCACCCCCACCAGAATTAATAGTCTCAACTTGAAATGGGCAATTAAAAATACTTTAAGTTGGACACAGTGGCTCACACCTGCAATTTCAGAGATTTTGGAGGCTGAGTCCAAATAATGGTTTGAGTCAAGGAGTGGGAGCTTGCAGTGAACTTTGATGGTGCCACTGTACTCCAGTCTGGGTGACAGAGTGAGACTCTGTCTCCAAAAGCAAAACCCAACCAAATGAAAAAATGTCAAGATGCTACTGAACACATGGAAACTCAGATACAAGTAGAGGTTTCATTCAAAGTAGTTGGCTTTTTGGAAATGGTATCTTTATGGCATCTTTTGAAATTTGAAAGATGAAAAGTGTTATCAAAGTAGATGAAGGAATGAATACGTGACTCATACAATGACTTGGTTCATAGAGCAAGGCAGAAAAAACATGAAATGAATACACTAAATACACTAATTTTGCTTTGTTTCCCTCAGGGCAGTGATAGGACCTAATTCAAATCTGAAGGGTGATAAAGAAGTACAACAAGTAATTTATGAAACAGGGCTGCATCTTATTTATTTATTTAGTAGGCACTAAGTTCTTTCTAAGGGCTAGGAGAGGAGTTGCTGCTGTTGGAATTTGTTAATTTCTGGCCAGTAGGAGCTGAATTCTTTGCTGTCGGGGTGGCAGGAGGCTATGGTTTTCCACCATTGTTTTGACTGCAGCAGGGCAATTATTGCTAAAATTGTTGTGTTTCTAAATTGTCCTTTCTTAATCCTTTGGCTAAAGAAAGTAGTCTTCTTGGTGTGTAGTTTCCCAGCTGCCAGTTTCTCCAGGACATACAGGAGGCTAAAAGAAAACCTACAAACTCACTGTTGTGTGGTTCCTTGGGTTCCCTAGCCCATCTGTTTTCTCCTTTCCACCTTTCGTAGTATTTTACATATTGTGCAGTGATTTTAGCTGTACTTGGTGGAAAGGAAAGAGAAAATGTATGTGTACTGTACCTTGTTTGGCCTAGAATATTCTTTTTAAAATTTACATCTGGCTAGGCATGGTGGCTCACCTGTAATCTCAACAGTTTGGGAGGCCAAGGCAGAAGCATTGCTGGAGCCGAGGAGCTTGAGACCAGCATAGGGAACATGATGAGACACTACTATCTCTACAAAAAGTAACAAAAAACATTGGCCAGGTGTGATAGCGCATGCCGGTAGTCCCTGCACTTTGGGAGGCTGAGGTAAGTGGATAGCGTGAGCTCAGCAGTTGAAGACTAGCTTGGGCAACATAGCAAAACCCTGTCTCTACAAAAAATACAAAAATTAGCTGGACATGGTGGCACACACTTGTAGTCCTAGCTACTCCAGAGGCTGAGGTGGGAGGATCGCCTGAGCTGGGGAGGAGACTGCAGTGAGCCCTGATCTTGCCACTGCACTCCATAGTCCAGAGTTTGGGTGATAGAGTGACATTCTGTCTAAAAAAAAAATAAATGAGAATTAGTCAAGTGTGGTGGTGCACGCCAGTGGTCTCAGTTATTCAGGAGGCTAAGGTAGGAGGATCACTTGAATTCAAGAGGTCAAGATTATAGTCAGCCATGTTTGCACCACTGCATTCCAGTCTGGTTGACAAAGTGAGATCTTATCTCAAAAATAAAAAATAATGAGTTCACATTTGCATTAATTAAAATATATTTTTACTTATAGCCATTTCGTAACAGTAAGTATTTCAACTTTTGCCAGCAGATTAGAATCAGCTCTACAAGAACACTGAGTTTTGCCCAGGGCTTTAGTCAAGGCTTGTCTATTTCTAGGGTACTGTACTGTGTTCTCTCTCAAGCCTGTGTTACAATTTTTCCTATTGCTGTAGGAGCTAAATGGTCAGTTACGAGACACAAAGCCACGGCAATATATGTACATTTATCTTCTCCTGACATTTTCACTGTCAATCAGGAGCTCTGGGGAAAAACCTCATGAGTGAAATTTATTTGATTTTCTTTATCATGTAGTAATATTGGAGATAAAAAACTTAATCTGAGCAATGCTATGAAATCACTGCTTTAAACTTTTAATGTGCATTTCTTTCAGGCAGTATTTTCATGGACTGTTCTCTAGGGTTTACTGTTATAGAGAAATGTCTTGAGTGAATAAATAAAAAAACCCTAATATATAGATATATTGGTAAATGTTGAATGAAACTGTGCTAGCCATGTTTCCCTTCAGTTTTGCAGATTGTACCCATGGGTTTTATTGGTTTTAAAATTCATCTTTATGACTGTAGAGGTGAATTCACTTTTGTGCCTTCTTTTTCTGCAGAAGAAATAAAATCATGTGTCTCTATACTAAATTCTTTTTACTGTTCTTTGGTAAGTGTCTTTCATAATTCAGCAGAGAAAAGGCTTATCAGTTTATCATTTATAATGTCTCAATTTTTGTAGCTTTATCTGTTTTGAAATGTTTCTATGTGGGTAATTTGAAGAACACATTCTGTGAGTACAAAACACTGCTATTTTTTTTTCCTAAAGGTGTTATTTAAAATAATCAAATTGCTTTTCCATCTCATCTACCTCATTTTGGAACAAAGAACCACAAATAATGAGAAAACTCTTTATTACCACAATATAAAAGAATAAGAAAAACTTTCCAAATATTATTTTTCTCTTTGACTCTCTCTACTGCCTTTCTGGGATCAAAATAACAACAACAATAATAATAAATCTTATATAGAGAGTAAAAGCCACATTTTTATGTTTGGGGCTTAAGAAAGCTTTCATGATCCTCTGATTTTAATATTATTTTCTAAGTATAGTTTTTAAATGTATCATAAAACAGATAATCAATGCTGATTTTTAATATTTAAATATCAATCTGGATTTATCTCTAAAAGATAAATAATTTACATTTTGAAGTTACAGAGCGTAAGATCTTTACTTGCATTATTTACTGCATACCATTTGGAAATGAATCCATAACTTTGAACTTGAGCTTAGTGCTCATGGCCTGAAAGGAATATTTCTCAACCAGAAAGTGGGGATAATCCTTCCCTCCAGGGGCATTTGACAATGGGCATTAAATAAGTGTCCAGAGACATTTTGGATTGTCGGGGCTGGGGGTTTACTATTGACATCCAGTGGGGAGAAGCCAGAGATGCTGCTAAACATTATAGAATAAAAAGACATATCCCACATGAAAGAATTACATGGTAGAAAATTTCAATAGTGCTGCTGTTGAGAAACATCCTACGTTTCAGTAACTTAAGGATTTTTGAAACCTGAAAGAATAAATAACCAGTTCATGCTATGAATTTTGTTTTCTGTGTTAATGCATGCCTAATAGGGTACAACAGTTTACCTGACAGACGTTTTGGAAATTCCACTAGCATTTATTAACCTGCAATGTACTCTACAATTGTTTACTTTGTTTTCACATGCTTTTGAACAAATACGCCTTGTGAAAAAAATTCTTCTGAGTGGCACGATGAAATAGACAGGAATGAAGATAAACGTGCATTTATGGCTTTACAAATCATGATGTATCCCTAATGCCTTTGGAGAGGATAATTGAGGGTAGGATTTAAGTTGCATTCTTTTTAATCTGCCTTGTATCGGATATAAGCCTTACCTTTTTGAAACAGATGAGCTGCTTTTTGTAATTTTCCACCTGGACCTATGCACCTCAGGAAGTCACCCCATGTGTGTCCTTAGGAAGTCCACACTAGGCAGCTTTCCCTGCTGTGGATGCCTGGCTACTCTGTCTCTGCTGGTTCCCCTCACTGTCAGGTGATACACAGCCTGGGCCTCATTACTCCATGCACATTTCTGCTTCTAGCAAGGGGCAGATTTCTACCACTTTGCCCCAAAGATGCTCTCACTCTGCTTATTGCTGTGAAGATAAAGAAAGGAAAAACAATAACAACAACAAAAAACTATGCTTTTGTCATGATAGTTCGCTTCATTGTTATTTATTTTGTTGATTGAAGACATAATGGGGCCTCAACTGAGTTAGAATAATGTTGGATTAAAGTTGTCATGATACGTTATAAGGTAATAGTCCTCTAAGGAATGTTTGTCTCTAAGGAGGACTTAGAGTTGTCAGGGAACCCAGAGCTTTGCAATTGTAATGAGTACACAGTAACAGATTCCTCAGAATTTAGAGTCCTCCTTGGAGACAAACATTCCTGAGAGGACTACTGTCCTACAATGTGTCACGAAGAATCATTGGTCCTCAGAAGGTTGCCCATGATGGCATACTTTTACCCCCTGGTGTTCCAGACTCAAGAAAGATGACTTTCCATTCCACACAAACATTTTTCTCCCTTGGGCAAGTGGAAGCCTCTGGAGTATTCTTAGGACTGGTTTGAAAATCTGAAACCAGAAAGGCTCAAATGACCACTCTCTTCCAAACTTGAGGGTTCATCTCTGAGCCTGGTCTCCTGGACAGACTCTTTTCTTTCTGCATTAATTAAAATATATTTTTGTATATATTTTTTTGTATATTTTCTTTAGGGTGAATCTAATTCAGGGGCCCCAGCATCATTTCCTGTCACAATGTGCCAACTGCAGCTATACCCTGAAAACCATCAAACTTCTATGCATATTTAGATCTAAGTCTGGGAAGGTCCCACCTCCTCCCCACCCCACAGGTGGCTCCTAAGTGGAGACAAACATTCCTTTGAGGACAACTGTCTTATCATGTATCATGACAGCTTTAATCCAATATTATTCTAACTCAGCCAAAACCCCATTATGGTTTTAATCATCAAAATAAATAACAATGAAGCAAACTGTCATTACAAAAGCATACTTTTTCTTTAACCTGACTGTAACTGGCAATAACAGAACAAAGCTAAACAGAGTAATGTGTTTGGAAGCATGGAGAGGCTTTAGGAGCACACAGCCAATGTATTTTTCAGACTTGAAAATGGTCTGATGTCTCAGGAGAGAGACATAGTGATATCAACAATATTGAAAAAGTTATTACACATATATCTTGAAATATATGTACATATATGCATTTATGCTTTTTATGTATAAATATTTCATTTAAAAACCTGTTCCTGGACAAATGCAACTAAACTTTCTTAACAGAGATCCCAGGTCTGATTCTTCAGGGAACCCAGGGCTTCATAAACAAAATTAGTAAACAGTAAGAGACTCCTTGGAATTTATGTAAAAGAAGATGCAAAAAACACTTTGAGCATTACCTGATACATTCTGGCAGGACTTGTAGATAGTAATTATTACAGTC